CTCCGTGATGGCGATGACCTCCAGCGAACAGAGCTCCTCACAGGACACCAACTGGAGGACGAGCGCCACAAAGAGCTCCGGGAAAAACTGCCGCACCTGCGGGCCGTACTCCAGGTTCTGCAGGAGCTTATAGAGCGCCGCCACCGCCTGCGGAAAGCACCCGCACAGCGCTCAGCACCGAGCTGCTCCCCTGGGTTGGGGGCAGGGAGGAGGGAGCGTTCCCGGGGGACCCCAAACTCACGGCCAGGCTAAGGGTGCTGGACTCGGTCTCCAGGCCCAGCGGCGCGATCTCCAGCAGACGCAGCAGCTCCTGCATCATCTTTGGTATCGCGTCCTCTGAGGACAGCGCCAACTCCCACAGCTCCCGCGCGTCCCTGCGGCACAGAGCCATCCTCAGCGGGAGCCCCTCTAAGCGTGGGCTGGGGGTTTCTCTCTGCGTAGGGTGGGGGTCCTTCTATGGGTGGGGTGAGGGTCTCCCCAGGTGTGGGCTGAGGATCCCTCTCCGCATTGGGTGAGGGTCCCTATCCACACGCGGTGGGCATCCTTCTCCACAGGGGGTGGTCTCTCTCTCCGTGTGGAGTGGTGGCCTCTCTTGTTTGGGATGGGGTTCCCTGAGATGAGAGATGGGGTGGGGGTCTCTCTCTACAGGGAGTGGGGGCAGCGCACTTGTCACAGGTGGGGGAGCAGCGCAGCAGGCTGAGTGTCACTGCATGAGGGTTGGCGGCGGCCAGCCTGGGGAAGATGTCACGGATGTGCTTCAGTGCGTCTTCCTCTGTGATCAGCTTCCTGCTCCTGTGGATGGCTGTCACGATGCGCTGCACCTGGAAGGGTCATGGGGACAGCAGAACTTCACTCCAGACGTCCCCAAGAGGGGCCAAGTGCCCTGAAGTCTCAAATCAGACCGAGGCCGTGCAGGACAACCCAACACAGCCTTCCAGCACCCAACCCAACCCCACTCTAAGCATCACGACCCAACCCAACACAAACCCAACCCCCAGCAAACCCAACCCCACCCCACCCCACCATCCAGCACCCATCCCAACACCCAGCACCCATCCCAACCCAAACCCAACGTCCAGAACCCAATCCAACTCCAACCCAACCCCCAGCCTCCACTTCAACCCCACCCCCCATGGGCTCAGTCCCCCAGTAAGCAGCTGCCGGTTGCTCACATCGTTGGGCGTGGGCTTGAAGTCAGCCATCAGCACACCCATCAAGTTGGAAGCAGCCTGGGCATTGCAGTTGCTGCAGTCCTTCATGCCCTGCAGCATCACGAGGATGAAGTCGGTTGTCTCCCAAGAGTGGAAGTGCTTTGCAAAGCGCTGGGGAGGAACAAACACAGAGGGGAGGAGGAACATCAGCCATGTTCCCCCATCTCCACAGACCCTGCAGCCACGAGTCCTGGCGCGGTGATCCCTCCTCACCAGCAAAATCTCCGAGGTGTTGGTGGTCCAGGTGAGGGAGAACTCGTGCTCATCTTCCCACTGCTCCTGCTTCCCCTGCTCTTCCGGCTGCACTTCCCAGCCTGGAAAGGAAAGCGAGGCGAGGTTGTGTGAGCGGTGGGAGCCCTGCAGGGAGCTGGGGCCGTGGGGCACAGCTCCCCCATGCAATGGGGTTCTTCACTGCTCGGAGCGGCAGCTGATGCAGCGCCATCCACGCTCGGCCCCGTGGGACGTCTGCAATGGATGGAGGCAGTCAGTGGCCGTCTTCTTACGGCTTCTCCACAGGATGAATTTGTAGAGGTGATGGAGAGCGCTCAAAGCACAGCGCTGCGTTTTGTCCTCCTGGCAGGCGCAGCACAGGATGAGGCTTCCCACCAGCTGCCCCAGCACGGGCAGGCGGAACTTGTCACAGCAGATGGGTCTGAATCGTCCCGAGGAGTGATGGCGCTGTGCGTGGAGAGCAGAACGTTGAGCGCACGCCCAGAGAGGGGAGAGCGGGGACAAGGAGGGACAAAGACCCCACGCCATGGGGGTCGGGCTCTTACCCTCTCCTGGCAGTAATATGCCAGTGAATGGCACAGCTTCCAGATGCGCCCCACTGCCCTCTGGCACGCAGCTGAGTTCTGAGTGGAGGTGAAGGGCAGCAGCACCTGTGGGAAGAGGAGCTCTGTCTCTGCCCTGCGGCCCCCAGGATCACCCCAAAAGGTTTTGGGGTGGTGGGGATGGCGGAGGAACAGCCCTCCTCTGTGCGGCCCCTGTGGGCACAGCTCACCTGGAAGGCGTTTTTCAACTCCTCTCCGATGCCTGCAGTGGGGTGGACGAACACCAAGGTGTCCAGCATCTCATCCAGAGCCCTGAGAGTCTGCAGGATGGACAGAGTGGAGGGAGATCAGAGGGGAGGGGGCGGGGGAGGCACAGCAAGAGCCTGTCCTGCAAGGCGGGGGGGCCCTGCAGCTCCCCAGCACCCACCTTGGAGTAAAGGCTCACGTCCAGGTCCTGCTCCGAGGGAAGCAGGAGGATGCTCTGGAAGCACACATGAAAGAGAGGGATCTTCTCCTCCAGCAACCCCTCCACCTTGCTGCAGAAACAAGAACTGCAAAGCTGGGAGCACTGCGCTGCAGGATGGGGAGTAGACCCCTGCCATGGGCAGCACTCTGCAGAGCAGGGGGGGCAACGTGGGGAGGAAGCCCCTCCTCCATGGGGATGCATGGGGCAGAGGGAGTCCTGAGCACTGCTGTGGTGGGTGTGGGTTAGAATCATAGAACCACAAGGTTGGCAACGACCTATAAGATCATCTAGTCCAACCGTCTCCTCATCACCATGGCCACCACCAGCACTCAAGTGTTGGTTGGGGTCGGGGCTGGGTTTGGGTTTGGGGTTAGAGCTAGGGTGAGGACTAGAGTTAGGGTTAGGGTTTAGGTTGTGGTTAGCGTTAGGCTTAGGACGAGGGTCAGGTTACGGTCAGCGTTCGAGCTGAGGCCCAGCAGGGCCGCAGGACTCCCTCAGCTCTTTGGCCAGCCCCGATGCGGGAGAGCAGCAGCCCAGCACGGCCAGGATCGTCCCCTGGGGCTGCGGGGCCGTACAGGCCGTGTGGAGCCGTCTGAATGCTGCGGGGCCAAGCCGGCAGCAGCGGGGCAGTACCTGAGGGCGGTGATGGTGGCCATCGCTTGCAGCCGCAGTTCAGAGCTCAGCTTTTTGTGCGGCTCCTCCGCCAGCAGCACCTGCAGCACAGCAGGATGGCACCGGGCACTCAGTGCTTGCAGCGCCGGGAGGAGCGGAGCTGCCCGCTGCCCCCCTCCAGCACCCAGCGCCCCTCACCATGATGTTCTCCACAAGATTGTTCCGGCGGCAGAAGATGCGCAGTTCCTGCGCCGCGTTCCTCTGTGCCGCGCGGCTGCAGATGGTGTGGATGCTCTGCAGGAACTTCATCTTCTGCTCCTCGTTCTGAGGCTGTCAGAGAGTGGGGGGAGTGTGAGCAGGGGGGCACAGCCCTCCTGCGGCTGAAATGGGTCCGGGGGTGCGGATGGGGCACCGCCGCGATGGCAGCGGCCGCAGTCACCTCTGTTCTCTGGACAAAGGCCTCGATGTTGTCCATCGCGTAACGCTCCGCGTCACACACGGGCATCCCAGGGGTGTCCGAGGGGGGAGCTGGAATTGGGAGTGCAGGGGGGGTTGGAATTGGAGTTGAGTTTAGGGTTGTGGTTAGTGTTAGGATTGAGGTTGGGTTTAGGGTTAAGTTTAAGGTTCGGGTTGAGGTTGGGTTAGGTTCTGGTTGATGGCTGGATTTAGAGTTCAGGTTGGTGTTAGGATTGGGTTAGGTTGAGGGTTAAGGTTGGGCTGAGGGCTGGGGCTAGGATTAAGATTTGCAGTCAGACGTGGGGTAGAGGAGCCCAGAGCAGAGCGAGGAGAGCAGGGGGCTCTGCCCTCTGCCACCCCACGCAGCCCCGGCACCGTGCAAAAAGCCTCGCACTGCACCAACCCCCAGCCCTGCAGGGACCCTCACTCACCGGGCGGCACAACAGGGGGCTCCTGGGGGATTTTGCCCTTCTCGGCCTCTGCGGGGCAGGAGGGCTTTCTCTCCTCCATCGCAGAGGATGAGGGCTGAGGTTGGGGACCGGCCACGGCCTGGACAGCCACGGGCGGGGATAAGCGCTGCGATTTGACCCGAGGAGTGGTTTGCACCGCAGGTCTGCTCGCGTGCTTTCTCATCAGAGTCCTGACGGAAAGTGAGGGGCGCAGCGCCGGCAGCTGGAGCTGTGGGGCACGGGGACGCGTCACAATGGGCCCCACTGTGACTTCACCGCCCCGCCTGCGGCGACCCCCAGCAGCGCTCAGCTCTGCTCAGGGCCGCTCAGTTCCCCAGCCTGCGCTGAGGAACGGATTTCTTATTGTAATTATTTTACTGAATCATTAAAAAAGATGGCAACGGAAACACAAATCCCAAAATTGGAAATATGTGCTTCACAGCGAGGCTGAGCCGCTCCGGGTGGGGGGGAGGGGAGTTCATGATTTCCCTGATGAGTTCACCAACAAATGATGGGGCTGGAGTTGGGGTTGGGGTTAGGATTATAGTTGGGGTTGGGGTTGGAGTTGAGGTTGGGGTTCTGGATGGAGTTATGGGTTGGTTGCTGGTTGAGATTGGGGTTTGCTTTGGGGTTGTGGTTGGTGTTAGGGGTTTCACAGAATTGTAGGGGTTGGAAGGGAGCTCCAGAGCTCATGGAGTCCAACCCCCTGCCAAAGCAGTTCCCTACAGCAGGTCGCACAGGTCGGTATCCAGGCAGGTCTGGAACATCTCCAGAGAAGGAGACTCCA